CACCAGTGGCCCCAAGACCCAGGAGCCTCGGGAAGGGAGGGAGGGCGGCAAGGGCTTGCGAGGGGCATGTGTGTGACCCCGAGACCCCGACTCAGCCCACATCCAGGGTGGGGGGCAGGGGCTGGGCTGGCGGCCACCTCGGGACACGACGCCCCCCACCGCGGGGAGAGGAGGGGCGTCTGCTTGGATGCCTTGGAGAAAGAGCCGGGGCTTGTCGGGGTCCCAGGTCGCCCCCAGCCGACCCCCGACGCCCTGCTTTCCGTTGTGCAGGGGGGGTGCCCCATCCCCTCACCCTCACCGGGGGAGGGACAGCCCCGGGGGCCTGCCTGGGGCTGAGAGCAGGTCCGAGTACCCCAGAGCAAGGCCTTCCGGGGGACCGGGGCCCGCGTGGCTGGGGGTTCACTCCCCCGCAGGGCCCGAGCAGTGTTGGGGGCCAAACCCAAGCTCTCAACTGCGCTGACCCCCTGAGAGAGCCCCCTGAAGGCATCAAGTGTTCTTTTTTATTCTTTTTTTTTTTTGCTTTTTGAGTCACATCCAGCGATGCTCAGGGGTTATTCCTGGCTTTGCACTCAGGAATTACTCCTGGCATGGCAGTGCTGGGAGACCATATGGGATGGCAGGGATCGAACCCAGGTCAGCCGTGTGCAAGGCAAATGCCCTACCCACTGTGCTATCGCTCTGGCCCCAGAATCAAGCGTTCTTATGCAGGGTGAGGGGTGTTGGGCTGGACCCGGCTGACTCCCGCTTGGTGCTCAGGGGTCCCTCCTGGCGGTGCTCGGGACTAGGTGTGTGCTGGGGCCCGACAGGGCTGGCCTGGCCAGCAAGCACCCCCCGCCAGGCGCAAGCGACCACAGGGCCTTTTCCTACAGTGACAAAACAGCTGAGGGACAGACCCCTGGGGACTCTGAGGGGCATGTTGGGGCGGGCTGTGCAGCGGGAGGGTCCGAAACATGTCAGGGGGCTCCGGCTGGCCTGAAGGGAGAGACAAGCGCCAGGTGCCGTGTACAGGGGGGAGCCGAGGCCGGGCGTGGGCACCTGGATCCAGCCGGACCTGAGCCAGACACCAGCTCCCCGGCACCAACCTGTGACCCCACCCCGGCCCCCCAGGGCTCTCGACTGGGGCGAAGAATAATCAGTGCTCACTCACGCGGGGGGAGGTGATTAACACTGTCAGAGAAACCGAGGGGAGACAGCAGCTACCAGGCACCCGCACTGCCTGTTCCAGAAGGTTCTTCTGGCCCCCGGCTGAGCTGCGTGACCTTGAGCACCCCCTGCACCTCCTCTCCATCCCCCCCACGGGAACCAGGGGCCGCAGAGTTCAGCTTTCAGATTCCTGCTGGCTAGAGGGGCCGCGTGTGTGTGCACATGTATGTTGTATACACATGCACACGTCTGTGTGTGCGTGCATGTTAGCGTGTGTCTGTGTTTGTGTGTGTGCATGTGTGTGTCCATATGTGCGCGTGGTTGTGTCTGCATGCATCTATGTGTCTGTGTGTGCATGTGTGTGTGCGTGTGTCTGTGTGTGCGTGTGTGTGCCTGTGTATACGTGTGTGTCTGTGTGCGTGTCTCTATGTGTGCGAGTGTGTGTCTCTGCATGTGCATGTCTCTGTGTGTGCATGTGTGTGCATGTGTGTGTGTGCGCGCGCGCGTGTGTGTGTGTGTGTGGCCTCTCCTGGGGTCCGAGCCAGCTGCTGTGTGGGCGGCTAAGTGTGCCCAGGTTTTGCCTGCAGTGTGTGTGTGCTGGCGGCTGCCTCTGACCCCACAAGCAGTGGGCAGAAAACGAGCACTGGAAGGGGAGGCGGGGAGCTGCAGGGAGGCGGCAGGAGCAGCGGCCTCAGTTTCCCCGTGTGTGCCGTCCGTGGGTGGGACTTAGGGGCTGCGGCACGTCACACACAGGGGCCAGGGGATGAGACGTTCACAGGCCGCTCCCAGCACCCCTGAGAAAGGGCTTCGGGAAGGACCTCGGGAACCCAGGTCAAGGATGGGGCGAAGGAGGGCGGGCTGGGGTCCCAGGCTGGGGTCCTCCTTGCCCTCTGCCCGGCGCCTCTGTGCCCTGCTGTGCTGGCACCTAGGTCCAGGAGCAGCTCAGCGCCTAGACCTCCCGCCTGCACCCGCGCCCGGGGCCTGGCGCCTCCCACGGCCCCCCACCTGCCGCCCAGCGGGGCTGCGGGCACCCCTAAATCCCGCCCTCCAGCGAGGGGCCTGTCTCGGGGATGCCTGGACACCCTCAGGGGCCCAGGGATGGGGGTCCAGCTCGGGGTCAGCTGCCCTTCCTGACTGGGGTGCCCAGTACATGGGGGCCAGCCGGGGCCCAGACACTCAGACACTTTCCTGCTGCTCTGGAACCTTCCGTGCTCACAGGCCCTCAAGGGGGAAGAGGCGAGAAATTGGCCTCGGGGCCCTGCCGGGGTGCTGGGCGGGTGACCCCATGGTCTGGACTGAAGCAGTGGATCCCGCAGCCCCTGCCCGGTCTCCAGGCTCCCTCAGGGGGCTCACTCAGCCCCTTTCCGGGACAGGTAAACCGAGGCCCAGAGCAGTCGCATCACCTACCCAAGTGATGCGGTGGGTCTGGAACCCCAAGCCAGACGGGGGGTACCCGAGGGGGCTCCTTGGTGGCAGGGGGTGGGGTGGGATGCGGTCGGGGACGTCAGAGTCAGGCCCGCGGGGAGGGGGCCGTGCTCGGCCTCCCGGGCGGCGAGAGGGCGTTTCTCCCGGGAAGAGGCCGCTCTGCGTGTTGATCTCTAAATTACAGCGTTGGCGCGCGCGGTTGCTGCGGTAACCGAGGGTCCTGAAGGGGAGTGTATAAACACTGCACAGATGCACAATTAGATGAGGAAGAAGAATAGGACAGAAAATAGAAACTTCCAGCCTTATATAATCCCGGCCCCGGCGCTCCCGGCCCCGGCCTGCCAAGCCGCCCGGCCCTGGGCAGCGCTGGCTCTGCTGGGGTCCCCCAGGGGGGAGGGGTGCTCTCCAGGGCGAGCTGGTGTCCCCCACCACCCCGGGAGGGCTGAGGGGCTTCCTCGCATCTCTGCTGAAGCAGCTGCGGCCACCGACAGGCCAACCCCGCCTCCCCCGGCTACACCCCCCATTCGGGGCCACCGGAGGCAGGGGCAGGAGGCAAGACTTTCCACAGACACCCGCTGTCTCCCGGGCACCCCAAATTCTGACACCCCCCGTGGGATGGAGGAGGATGCTGAGAAGTGAGAGGAACTGTCCCAGGCGACAGAACGTGACCCCAGCTCTAGCAACAGCACCCACAGGCCCCGCTGTGTGGCCCTGGGCAGGTGGTGTCCCTCTCTGAGCCCCCTCACTCACCTGAAACGCGACGGTGGCCCCAGAGCTCAGGGCTCCCGCTCTCCCCTGGGGCCTAACGAGCCAGGGGCTGACACGGGGGCTGGGTCTACGCTCTCCAGAACATTCCACAGTGACGGGAATGCCCCGTCCCTGTCCTGTCCCGGTGCGGGACAGCCACCAGCCTCGGCTGAACCCTGGAGATGTGACTCGCAGGGGACCAGAGCGAACGGTGGAATTTGTCATCAAGCCCAGCCCAGGGCGCTGCAGCCGCCAGGGGACTGGTCAGCCCCGAGACAGGAGAGGCTGAGCCCAGGGTCCCGTCTCTGCAGGGGGCAGGGCGGGCGGAGAGGTGGGAGTGGGCACGGAGATGCACCAGCAGTGCAAGGTGACACCCCACCCCCACCCCCTGCGACTTGTAGCCTCTGAGTGCCGCCAGGCGTGGCCCCTCCAACACTGGGGGGGAAAGTGGGAGAGTGGGCCGTGGGGGCACTCAGGAAGCACAACAAGGTTGGGGGGGTTCAGAGGGAGGGACTAGATCCCGGTCCTGGGGACTTGAACGCTGCAGACCCACCCCCATCCCCCTGCACCCCTGCGCGCAGAGCCCTGCTCACTGGCGCCCCCTGGTGGCCGGACACGGAGTGTCCATCCCAGAGTGGGGGCGTGGTTCGACTTCCCCTCAGCACCCTTGCACTCAGGGTCCTGCTCACTGGAGCCCTCTGGTGGCGGGGAGCGGAGTTTCCAACCCCCAGTGGGGGGGCCGTGGTTTGCCCTCCCCTCTGCGCTCAGCGCCCTGCTCACTGGCACCCCCCAGAGGCCGGGCGTGGAATTTCCATCTCCCTAGGGTGAGGGGGCTGTGGTTCACCCTCCCCTCTTACCCCTGCTCGCAGAGCCCTGCTCACTGGCGCCCCCTGGTGGCCAGGTGCAGAGTTCCTATTCCCCCTGGGGGTGGGGGGCTTGGGTTCACTTTCCCCCCTGTGCTCAGAGCCCTGCTTGCTGGCGCCCCCGGTGGCCAGGCGCAGAGTTGACGTCCCCTCGCTGGCGTCCCCTGGTGGCCGGGTGCGGAATTTCCATCTCCCTGGGGTGAGGGGGCCGTGGTTCACTCTCCACTCTTTCTTCTGGCTCAGAGCCCTGACCCGGTGGCCGGGCGCGGAGTTGCCATCCCTTCCCCCTTGCTGGCGCCCCCCGGTGGCCGGGCACGGAGTTGCCATCCCCCGCTCGCTGGAGCCCCCCTGGTGGCCGGGCGTGGCGTGGCCCTCCTCCTCGCTGGCGCCCCCGGTGGCCGGTCGCGGCGTTGCCATCCCCCGCTCACTGGCGCTCCCCGGTGGCCGGGTGCAGAGTTGCCATCCCCCGCTTGCTGGAGCCCCCCTGGTGGCCGGGTGCGGCGTTGCCCTCCTCTTCGCTGGCGCCCCCGGTGGCCGGGCGCGGAGTTGCCATCCCCCCTCGCTGGCGCCCCTGGTGGCCGGGCGCGGCGTTGCCCTCCTCCTCGCTGGCGCCCCTGGTGGCCGGGCGCAGAGTTGCCATCCCCCGCTCGCTGGCGCTCCCCGGTGGCCGGGCGCGGCATCGCCATCCCCCGCTCGCTGGCGCTCCCCGGTGGCCGGGCGCGGCGTCGCCATCTCCCCCCCGGGGTGGGGGTGGGGGTGGCGGTCCGCGGCTCCCCCGCCCCGCCGCTCGGCTCACCTCTGTCCTCTGTCCCCCGCCCGCAGGCCCCGCCTCTGCCCAGGTGACCCACCCCGCCGGCCCCAGGCCATGCACGGGCACAGCCGCAACGGGCAGGCCCACGTGCCCCGGCGGAAGCGCCGCAACCGCTTCGTGAAGAAGAACGGGCAGTGCAACGTGTACTTCGCCAACCTGAGCAACAAGTCGCAGCGCTACATGGCCGACATCTTCACCACGTGCGTGGACACGCGCTGGCGCTACATGCTCATGATCTTCTCGGCCGCCTTCCTGGTGTCGTGGCTCTTCTTCGGGCTGCTCTTCTGGTGCATCGCCTTCTTCCACGGGGACCTGGAGGCGGGCCCCGCGGGCGCGGCGGCGGCGGCGGCGTCGGCCGCGGCGTCGGCGGCGGCGGCGGGCGCGGGGGGCGCGGCGGGCGGCGGCGCGCCCCCGGCCGCGGCGCCCAAGCCCTGCATCCTGCACGTGAACGGCTTCCTGGGCGCCTTCCTCTTCTCGGTGGAGACGCAGACCACCATCGGCTACGGCTTCCGCTGCGTGACCGAGGAGTGCCCGCTGGCCGTGATCGCCGTGGTCGTGCAGTCCATCGTGGGCTGCGTCATCGACTCCTTCATGATCGGGACCATCATGGCCAAGATGGCCCGGCCCAAGAAGCGCGCGCAGACGCTGCTCTTCAGCCACCACGCCGTCATCTCGGTGCGCGACGGCAAGCTCTGCCTCATGTGGCGCGTGGGCAACCTGCGCAAGAGCCACATCGTGGAGGCGCACGTGCGCGCGCAGCTCATCAAGCCCTACATGACGCAGGAGGGCGAGTACCTGCCGCTGGACCAGCGCGACCTCAACGTGGGCTACGACATCGGCCTGGACCGCATCTTCCTGGTGTCGCCCATCATCATCGTGCACGAGATCGACGAGGACAGCCCGCTCTACGGCATGGGCAAGGAGGAGCTGGAGGCCGAGGACTTCGAGATCGTGGTCATCCTGGAGGGCATGGTGGAGGCCACGGCCATGACCACGCAGGCGCGCAGCTCCTACCTGGCCAGCGAGATCCTGTGGGGCCACCGCTTCGAGCCCGTGGTCTTCGAGGAGAAGAGCCACTACAAGGTGGACTACTCGCGCTTCCACAAGACCTACGAGGTGGCGGGCACGCCCTGCTGCTCGGCGCGCGAGCTGCAGGAGAGCAAGATCACGGTGCTGCCCGCGCCGCCGCCGCCGCCGCCCAGTGCCTTCTGCTACGAGAACGAGCTGGCGCTGCTCAGCCCCGAGGAGGAGGAGCTGGAGGAGGCGGCGGCGGCGGCGGCGGCGGCGGCGGCCGCGGCGGCCGCGGGGCTGGGGCTGGAGGCGGGCGCCAAGGAGGAGGCGGGCATCATGCGCATGCTGGAGTTCGGCAGCCACCTGGATCTGGAGCGCATGCAGGCCACGCTGCCGCCGCTGGACAACATCTCGTACCGCCGCGAGTCGGCGATCTGAGCGCGCCGCCCGCCACCGGGACCCCAGGGCGGGCGGCCGGGGGTCCCCGCCGCGCGCGCGCGCCCGCGGATGCTCCGGCACCTCCTCCCGCCCCCCGCCCCGCGCGGGTGCTCTGGGACCCCCCCTCCCCGCCCCGGGCGTGCCCCCCTGTACTCAGTACTCAGAAGAACCTCGGGGAAGAAGGCGGCTGGACTGCTGGGGGGCGGGCAGCGGGTGGGGGGCGGGGGGCGGGAGGGGGGAGGCGTTCCTTTTGCATGACCGTGGCTGTTGCTCTTGAGTTTTTTTTTGGTTTTTCTTTTTTGTAAATACCTAGAAAGGGGGGACAGCTGGAGGGACTGGTCCCCTGCTGCTGCAGGACGAGGAGTTGAGTTGGGGGGGTCCCCCTCTGCACCCCGCCCCCCGCGCGCGCGCGCACGAGGTCCCCAGAGCCAGCCCCGCGGGCCTCCCCGTTCCCCCCCCCCCCGTGGTGGTGCTGGGTTTGGGTGCAGGGGTGGGACCCCGAGGAGGGGCAGGAAGTAGGTCCCTGGGGGGCCGCCCGGCCCCGGGTGCCGGTGGAGTTTGTAACTATATATTTTTAATAAAGGCCTCTGGTCCACGCGGGTGCCTGCCGGGAGACGGAGCGGACGGGACGGTCGCAGGAACCTGGCGGGAGCGTGTGTTCCCGCACGAGGGCACACGAAGGCCTGAGTGTGTGTGTGTGCATGTGTGTGTGTCGTGTGTGGTGTGAATGTGTGTGAATTTGAATGTGTGGCTGGGAGGGTGTGTTGTTGAGTATGTGGCTGTGAAGGGGTGTGTGTGTGTGTGTGAGAGTGTGGATGTGTGCGTGAGGGTGTGTCTGAGCGGATGTGTGACTGTGTGTGAGGGTGTGAATGTGTGCGAGTGCGTGTGAGTGTGATTATGAGTGCGTGGCTGTGAGGGTGTGTTGTTGAGTGTGTGGCTGTGAAGGTGTGTGTGTGTGTGTGAGGGTATGAATGTAAGCATATGTGAGTGTGTGGCTGTGAGCGGGTGTGTTGTGCGTGTGTGACCGAGCAGGTGTGCGAGTGTGTGCATGAGGGTGTGAATGTGTGTGTGACTGTGAATGTGAGTGTGTGAATATGGGAGGTGTGTGTTGTGAGTGTGTGAATGTGTGTGCTGTGAGTGAATGTGGTGTGAGTGTGTAAATGCGTGTGTGCACACGCCTGTGTCCCCGCTGAGTTGCGCATCTGGCCGGGCCCATGGCCACCTGCCATCCTCCCCTCTCAAGAGCCCTGGGAAGGGTCCTGAGTGGCCCCAGACCCCGTTGGAGCAGACTCTACTCGGTCCTTGCTCAAGGCTCTTCGGCTCTCGGCCTCAGTCTTGTCGTCTGTAGAATGGGCTGAGCCATCCCTCCCTCCTGAGCTGGTGTGGGCACCAGGGAAGTGGGGGGGGCGGGGCTCTCCACAGCACACACACGTGCGCATGCCCCCCCGCACCCACTCAACTCAGGGGCAACTGGGCGCCTGTGATGGACTGGTGAGGGCCTGGGGCAGCCCTGCCCTTCCCTGGGCTCCAGGGTCCGGTGCTGTGTCACTGCCCTGACGTCTTTCCAGCACTCAGGGCTGGCTCCCGCAGCTGTGCCGAGCTGCTCAGAGGGGCCGCAGAGTCCGACCTGGCTCGTCCCGATGGCCGGCCAGCTTCCTTGGCCACCTTGGTGCCTTGTGGGGCAGGTTCAGCGGGATGAAGCTGAATCCGGGTCTTGGAGGAAACTGTTTCTCTGTGCAATGCTGCCATGCTGCGGTGAGGCCGGCCCGGGGCCAGAGCAGGAGAGTCCCTTCCTCCTGGGAACAGGCGGATCGCAAAGGACCCTGGGGTTGGGGGCTCCCTCCCTCCCAGCCTGAGATTCCCCCCACTGCAGCTCCCTCGACCTACAGACAAGTGTCCGGTGGCTGGGAAACAGAGACCCCATCCAGTTCCCAAGGAATCAGCGTGAAGCCCATTGGGGCACCCTCGTGAATGACCACCTGCCACCGGACCTGGGTTGGGGGCAGCCACTGCACACTCCATGTGCTTTGACAGTCTCTTAGGGCCGGAGCGCATCAGGTCTGGTACGAGGCAGACCCGGGTTCGATCCCCGGCATCCCACATGGTGCCCTGAGCACCGCCAGGAGTGAGCCCCGAACACAGAGCCAGGAGGAACCCCTGAGCACTGCTGGGTGTGATAGAACTCACCAGCTTGGGGCTGGAGCGATAGCACAGCAGGTAGGGCGTTTGCCTTGCACGAGGCCGACCCGGGTTCGATTCCCAGCATCCCATAGGGTCCCCTGAACTCTGCCAGGGGTAATTCCTGAGTGCACGAGCCAGGAGTAACTCCTGTGAATCGCCAGGTCGTCCCAAAAAGCAAAAAGGAAAAAAAAAAACTCACCAGCTCACTCGGGGTGCACGTTCCCCCCCCCGGATCACACATCAGGAAGGCAAAGTCCCCTCCTCTCCTTGCCACTCTGAGGGTCCCAAGGGGGAGGCGGGGTCCGGCTGGGCTCGTTCCGAGGTGAAGAAAAGGAGGCTGTGGGGCCAAGGCTGGGAGACAAGGTGAGGGTCCCCTTCTCCTGCGCCGGCCCCCACGGCACGGCCCACCTCACTCAGGGACCCTCGGCGCCCCCACACCCCTCCCATGATGCTCAGGCCCTGACGCAGCTGTCATCCCAAGGGCTCTCAGATGGAAGGTGAAGGAGCCCCCCGAGGGACCCCAGAATGACGCCATGGAAGTTCCTGGGGGGTCCCTGACGACCACGACAGCGTCTCGTCCTCTGTGCCAGGGACAGGCAGGGCGGCTCTGATGGGCAGGGGGGCTCGGCGGGGCCTAAGGGAGGTTCCAGAGCAGACTTGGGGTGCCACAGAGACTCAGGGTGCCTCAGAGACACAGGGTGTCACAGGGAGACTCAGGGTGCCAGGGAGCAGGCTCAGGGAGCTTCTCGCTGACTCCTGCTGACTCACCCCCCCGCCCCCCTGCTCCCCATCACAGCCCTCCCACCTGCCTCCCCTCCACGCTGTCTCCCCCACCCCCCCGCCCCCTCGGGCACTGAGAGTCGCTGTGTGTGGGGGTGTCGCACCTCAGATGTCAGGGAGCTGGGGAGACTGGAGCCGGGCCTCGGCACCTCTGCCCTGCCCACGCCCACTCCCCACCCCTGCGTGGGTGCCCGGCTGGCTCCGGGAGAGGAGAGGAGGGCGCAGGGGTGGGGCAGGGGGGGTCCAGGGAAGCCAGAAACTAGCCCTGCTCTGGGCTGGGCCCCCGAACCACCCGCTTCTGAGAAACTTATTTGCTTCTGAACACACACTGCTCACAGCAAAGCGGAGAATTCCCCGGGAGGCATCACTGTGGCTCAGGGGCGAAAGGCTCCTTTGAGAATCCTTCTGGAAGCTTCTGTGCTGTGATCGGGCTGGTCTTTCTGCCGGTCTCCACACAGTCCATGTAGCCTGCACGTTGGGTGACATCTTCATGCTCAGAAGATCCCAGAGCCCGGCCTCGGGGTACTGGGTCGGGCCACCCTTGCAGCTGGGGAAAATCCCTGAGCCCCAGGGAACGGCAGGACCAGGGACGTCCTCTGTGGCCGCCAGAAGGTTCAAGGACAAGTTCAGAAGTCAGGACCCGGGAGCCATAGAACAGCAGGGAGGACGTTTGCCTTGCACGTGGCCATCCCTGGTTCCATCCCCGGCATCCCCTAGGGTCCCCCGAGCACCGCTAGGAGCGATTCCTGAGTGCAGAGCCAGGCCCTGAACATCACTGGGTGTGATCCCAAAATTTAAAAAAGAAGTCGGGACGATAGCGTAACTGGAGTCTCTTCTGTACAAAGTATAAGTTGCAGCAAAATTGAAGACTATCTACTTCTGGGGGGCAGGGGGACAGGGCACCCTGCAGTGCTCAGGGCTGACTCCTGACTCTGTGCTCAGGGGGCACTCCTGGCAGGCTCTGGGGACCCTATATACCGGGGATGGAACCCAAACTAGGTAGGCGCCCTCCCCACACTACAAACTCTCGGGTCCCTGAATATCCCCTGCGATTGCTACATCCAAAGCCCCATCCATCACGCTCCTCCTGTGGCCGAGGCCACCAGAATGACCCCCCCCCACGCTCGGCCCCAGGGAGGTCCACGCGGGGCGCAGGGCTTGGAGCTGAGCACGGGAGTCCCTGTTGCTGCCTCCCACAGCGCCGCCGCGTGGCGGCCCCGGGAACTGCAGGGCGACAGGTGCCGAGGAGGATGCGGGTGGCCCCCGCGCCCCGCGTGCAGGAGGGTCCCTGGGTTCCAGCCCCGCTGCGCCCCTCCCCGCCTCTCCGCCGGCCCAGCCCCCGCTGCCTTCCAGCCCGCACCCCAGGCGGGGGCCCGCACGCTCCTTCCGCACCGAGGGGAGGCACCGGGGCGCAGAGGCCCGCGCTGGACGAGGACGTGAGGCTGGCGCGGTGGCGTGCGGGGTCCGGGGAGCTGGGAGGGTGGCGTAAGTCTGGGCCCGACACGTCCCTTAGGGAACTTGGGGGGAGCCTAGGAGACGGAGCCCAGCAGGACCGGGCGACCCCCGGACATTTGCAGGCGCGAACCCGCAGCTGCTCCGAGCTGGGGCGAGCCAGGCTGGTCCGCACACACGAGGGTTCAAGCACCTGGCAGAGAAGGAGAAGCCGCAGTAATAACGTTTTAAGCATTGATTGCAAGGTAAAATAATGGGGGGGGGGGCGGAGCGGGGAGGGAGTTTGCCTTGCACACAGCCGGCCCGGGTTCGATTCCCAGCACCCCATAGGGTCCCTTGAGAACCGCCAGGAGTGATTCCTGAGTGCAGAGCCAGGAGGAGCCCCAGAGCAACCCCGAGTGTGACCCCCCCAAAAAAACACCAAAATACAATGATTGGTAGTGGAGTGGGCGACCACAGAGATAGTCCAGTGGGTAGGGCACTTGCCTTGCACCCAGCAACCCCAAGTTCTATCCCCGTCACCCCATATGGTCCCCCCTAAACCTCTCCGGGAGCGATTCCCTCAGTGCAAAGCCAGGAGTAAGCCC